TGTTTTTGTGTTGTTTCTGCTGATGTTCTGGTTACACATCACTTGCATCCCACTGTTCTTTCCGCAGGCGTGCTACGGCATTGTTAAGGTGCCCATTGGTAACTGGCTGTGCCGGACATGCGTCCTCGGTATTGACCCGCAGTGCCTCCTGTGTCCCCAGAAAGGCGGGGCCATGAAGGCGACACGAGCCGGCACAAGGTGGGCTCATGTGAGCTGCGCTCTGTGGATCCCTGAGGTAAGTGAATCTGGGGTGAGGGGAAGTGGGTGCAACAACACCAACAGTGACAAATAATGTTTTGGGGGTTTTTTTGTATCAGAGACTGAGATGAAAATATTTACTGCTTTGGTCTATAGACCTTTAATAAAGGAGCACATGTGCAGAAATGATAGTGACAGTGAAAATGTGTGGTGCTGTCGTGTCCTCTGTGTGCTCCTCATCGCCTTCTATTTTTCGGCCTCCATCCTGCAGGTGAGCATCGCCTGTCCAGAGAGGATGGAGCCCATCACCAAAGTCTCCCACATCCCCCCCAGTCGCTGGTCTCTGATCTGCAGTCTGTGCAAGCTGAAGACAGGTGCGTGCATCCAGGTGAGTTATTCCTTCCGTTTCATGCCATAGAGATTACTTTAGACTGATTGCATGGCTGCAGACATTCAAGTTTGATTTTATGATCCTCGAACCGTCTGCAGCAAGAGGTCTGCACTGGCGATGGACATAAGCTGGCTTTTCCCTCAAGTAACTCTATCCGCTCTCTCCCCCTGTTCAGTGTTCAGTAAAGAACTGCACCACCCCCTTCCACGTGACCTGTGCGTTCCAGCACAGCCTGGAGATGAAGACGATCCTGGATGAAGGGGATGAAGTCAAGTTCAAGTCGTACTGCCTAAAACACAGCCAGCCCAAAGCCGGAGAGGCCGGCCTGAGCCCGGCTCGATCCAAAGCCCCTGGAGAGGCGGGGAAGGGGGGCCAGCGAGCTCAGCGGCTGCAGGAGCTGGAGGAGGAGTTCTACACCCTGATTGAGCCCGAGCAGCTGGCCCGGGACCTTGGGCTGTCCCCGCACCTGGTGGACTTCATCTACCAGTACTGGAAGCTGAAAAGGAAGAGCAGCTTCAACAGGGCTCTGCTGCCCCCTAAAGAGGAGGAGGAGCAGCTGGTGCTCCAGCCGCAGGAGGACAGCATCCACACCCGGATGCGTATGTTCATGCACCTGAGGCAGGACCTAGAAAGGGTGGGTGCTTCCTCTGTGCCGTGTGTGTGTGTGCAGCCTGTGTTAGTGGTGATGTGGTTTTTTAGCTTTAGCCTAAATGATCGGCGCATGCACTCGGTGTCAGAGCAACCATTGCTGATTCAGTAGCATTTATAGAAACTCTGAGGCGTGAACCTGTGTCAGCCAATCAGATCCCATCTATACTGCTGTCTTTAATAAAGTTGTGTGTATCTGGCTGCAGGTAAGGAACCTGTGTTACATGGTGAGTCGGCGGGAGAAGCTGAAGCTGCTGCAGAGCAAAGCTCAGGAGCAAATGTTCAACTTGCATGTGAA